CATTTAAAAACTGCATTTTGTATTTACTTGCATTATCTTTGTGTAATATTACAATTTGTTTGATGATCTGAATCTTTTTAAGTGTGACAAATATGCAAAAAATTTAAAAAACAGGAAGGGGGCCAACACTTTTTCACACCACTGTATGTTGAAGCAGTTTATGAAAGTTTAGGGGATCTAAATGAAATAATATTGTCATTAGTTTTACTAATACACGTTTTCTTATTTTGGTAAATGAAGTCTAGGCTAAAATGCCACAACTTAAATCTAATATATATTTAATATGTCTAATATACAGAGCTGATTTCGTCATCACAACAGCCTGTAAAACGCTTGCATTGATTAAAGTAGGATAATTGTTAATTAAAACTTTTAAATCTGACCTTGTTCATTTATGTAATGATATAAATTCACATTTATTACGATCGATTTTGACCTACCCAAGGCAAAATTAAAATGTATCAAATTTAAATGGGACAATTGGATTTTGATATTGTAAAAGTATGTAAAATTATTGTAAAAGTTGGTATTGTATAATTTTGATTTTATTTTCTAAAGATGTGTTCCACTTATCATAAAGTGTTAACATTTGAATGACAGAATCAACAGTTCTCCATATGCAGTAGGCAACACACACATAGGCTGAATAAAGATTGCTTGCATTAATAGGTTATATAAGTACCATAACATTGACCTTCAGGCCTTGTTCATCACAACTTGATATGAAATGTGTCCAGGTCCTCCACATACTTAAAGATTAATAAAAAAGACTAAAAAGTATTAATAAAAATTAATACTTTTATTTAGCAAGGATGCTTTGAATTGATCAAAAGTGATGATAAAGACATTTATAATGTTACAAAAGATTTCTATTTTACGATAAATGCGTTTATTCTGAACTTTCTATTCATCAAAGAAACCTGAAAAATTCTACTCTGCTGTTTTTTTAACATACTAATAATAATAAATGTTTTTTGAGCACCAAATCAGAATATTAGAATGATTTCTGAAGGATCATGTGACTGGAGTAAAAGATATGAAACAAATGCCCCACAGGCAGAGCAGAGGAGTTTAAAATTAATCTCTCTCTTCATTGGTCAGCTGTCTTCAAAGCCTTTTTAGGGTTTGAACTTGCCAGCAGTGGATCCATAGCACTCTAGTGTAGAGCTCAAACGTGAAAGAGACCACACCAAGGGACCAGGTCAGTTACTAAAAGCCTTAAAACACTATAGGAACAATGCAGTAAAATGTAAAGACAGGTCAGATATATATTTAAATAGGCTATATTAGAATGGTGTAAGTGTAAAATTAATTGTGGTGGCCTCAGACGCTGGGATAGGCTTCAGCCCCCCAGGAACTTAAAGAGGAAGCAGTTTGGAGAATTGTGTGACAGTGTATTCATAAACTTTATGCATGTGAGATGCATCGTTCCACATTGTAGTGGAAAGTTCATGAAACTGAAAAATACTGTGCTATTTAGTACACATGACTCTGTTAGTTTAGAAATCTGCCTGCAGCTTTGTGGGTTACTGGTTTTGCTGGTTTGTGTGTTCTGTGTCCCCCCTGCAGTTCTAAAATAATGTGTACAGGTCAATGATGTGATTCTCATTATTTTTTAATCTATTAGTTTATTCATAAATACACTCATATACAATGACTTTAATACGCATCTTACATGATGAGCATCTTTGTACTTTGTATTTGTACTGTTGTTTCATGCTTAATGAAGATCTGTTATCAAAACATTTTTTAGACATTTTTTCTTTGGAATTTCCTTGAAAATGGTACAAATATGTTCCAAAACCATATCCATTTAACATGAATACATTTCTAAGGACTTGGCACATGTGTTTTAAACTTGATTTAAAAAAATAAAATCATGACAGCAGATTTTTACGTTCCTTTTCTTAATTTTTTCATTGACCTGTACACATTTGTGATTTTTGTGGCCTATGTTCTGAGAACAATTGCAGCTACCTGTACATTAATTTTTTATAAGAACTATATAGACCCAAAATAATAATAAACTATAATAGAAATAGCTTTGTTCCCAAACTTATTCTAAACCTGTTTAGTGCATTGTTGTTGTTTTTTTAATAAAAAAAAAACTCCTGATATTGTTTCTTTCCATGCAGCGATATGTCAATATCACAGATAACACCAACTCTCTTCCTGAGTGGGGCTGATGCTCCTTTGAATCAGGCACTTATGACCCGCAAAGGCATTACACTGATCGTGAACGTGACCCTATCCCACACCTGCCCTATCTACCCAGGTGTGGAGTGCATACGTGTTGCAGTGTCCGACCTCCCAAATGCCCGTCTAGGTGATCATTTTGACCACATTGCAACTCGAATCCATGGTAACAGATCTGGAGGAACCCTAGTGCACTGCGCTGTGGGCATGAGTCGCTCACCTGCTCTAATAATGGCCTACCTCATGAAGTACAAAGGAGTGACTCTGCGGCAGGCACATAACTGGGTTAAAGACAGCAGACCTTGCATATGCCTTAATACAGGATTCTGGACCCAACTTCTGGACTATGAGAGGAAACTCTACGGTAAGAATACTGTGAAGGTGGCTAAACCACTGGATCCACTGCCAATGCCTAAAACACCAAAACTACCTTCCAAGTACAGCATGAGACGGTGTCCTCCTTCGCCAAGGCTGAGCCGACTTAGAAGATTCACCTCCTTGGCTCTTTAATCAACAACAGCAAACTGATCTTTTGCCAAATGTGGACTTGAAATTTCTATTTACATATTGTAAGGGCAATGAAAAATTTCTTAACCATCATTTTGAATAAGGATCAACAAGATCTATGCAGTGAAAGAAAGTCAACATGACTCTTGTTTTTCCACCAGCATGTGTTTTTAAGAGGCTTTTAGCCATTTCCTCCTGGCTTCTAATGCAATTCACTTTCAAGGATGTTTATTGTTTATTCGTTTTTAATGTGGCCTGGCTGGAATTCCGGGAATAAAATAATCTTAAAATTTAGTATGCATTATTTAACCAACAGAGGACACTGTTGTAGCATTAAACTCACACTAAATAAGAAACCCAGGGATAATAAATGAAAAGCCTCAATGAAAATTGAGAGGTTAATTTTGAATATCTTTATCTCAATTGTCTAAATCTGCTTGAATTTCTACAGTATGATGTCAAGTCAAGTCAAGTCACCTTTATTTATATAGCACTTTTAACAATACAGATTGTGTCAAAGAAACTTTACAGTATTACAGTTTTTCTGAATTGCAAAAAGACTAAAACCCAATCTCTTAATCAAATTCTCACTAGCTTAAACCAATTTGTGGAATAAAGCACTCTTTCTGCTAAACCTTAAATATGTTCAGGCAGTTAGGCTCTATTTGCAAATCTCATGCATTTTGTTTTTTGCAAAACTCTAAACACATTATCATTCACTTAAACACTTATCACACTGTGATGCATTTGTGCTGCAAAATGTTAAACACAAACGCCAAAAGTTAAACACAACTAAAGCACAGTTGTCATCGTTTACACACAACGATTCAAAAGTTTTCACACTTGTTTCTAATGATGTGATCAAACCAACTGTACAAAATATGAGCCAGAGTTCCGAGTGCACATGGCACATGTGACTGAATGACGATACGAACAATAGATGGAAACAATCTGAGAAGGAGAGGAGGAAGAGTACATGTAAGATGTGGAGGATGTGGAGGATGAGGAGCAGCTGCGTGTGGATCGCGAGCTGTGTGTGCGTGGATTGCGCAAGGCTAAAGGGGCGGAAGGAAAGTCTCAAAATTCAAATGAATCGACTCAGAAGAGACATGAATGAATGCAGGCGTGTTGCCTGATCCACAAATGCACATTTTAATCGCTGCACAATCATTTAATCCTGAATTCCACAGACTCAAATTGAAAGGCATTTGTTTGTGGTTAGTAAGATACATGTATACAATTTATGCAGTACATGGATAATTGTGCATGCATCTATCAATCATTTTGAGTCTAATATCATCCCATATTTGTTTACTTTCAAACAAGACAAATATTTGAAATAGTTTTTGTGACCACGTTTCTAATTGCACTTTCAGTTCTGCATTCTGCATTTCAGTTCTGCATCCTGCTTGCTACCTCACTTAAAATTCATAAAATGAATTTAAAAGGCATTCTTAGTTCATCTCTAAACTGACACAACCCTGCTCACTGAGAGACTTGTATGTATGTATTAAGCTGTTGTTGCTCTTGTTCTTGTTGACCTATACTAGATATCAAAGAATTGGCCATGTGACACAAGATGAGAAAAAAAGTCTCAGGTTGTCATTCATCACCTTTATAATGCAGGTTTATTCCTCACAGTCTCTCTTTTAATAATGTCTGTTTAGTGCTTTTGGCAATGTTTTGTTGGTGCTGAGTGAGGGGAGAGAAGTTTTAGACATGCTTCTCTTGAGGGGGTGAGTGAATGTGCTGAAAGCTGAGAGAGACCGCACGGAGTGGAAAGAGTCAAAATGTCTTAGATAAAAAAGCCACTTATTTATCTTGAGAATAAATATAATTTATTTTTGGCTGAAAGCCTGTCATCTTGTGCAATTAACAACAAAAAAGTTGGCCAACTATGTATTGGGATAAAGTTAAGTGTGTTTGTGTGTGCCAGCCCATGTGTTTCTTTGTGTGTGTGTGTGTGTGTGTGTGTGTAATGAGACTGCTTTCAGTAAGCCCATCAAGGGATAAATAAGCATGCCATTACCATACACTCATTTATCTTTCTGCACATTATTTGACAGCAAACCATCCTTGTAAGGTATTGCAGTCTGACCACAAATGCTATGTTAGATGTTTCCCTGGAAGGTATAGCAGAGCAGTCAGAGAGAGAGAGAGAGAGGGTGAGGTGGGGTGGGTGGAGGGCACAGTGCCAAACACCAGGCGCCACGCTTCCAGCATGATGACCTCATCCCCATCTACTACTAGAACATATTGTCTACATTCATCATCACTGAATGTAGTGTTTGTCTTCGTTCATGCACAATGAAATTTAACAGCATTACCAAATAATACAAACATTTAAAAGGCTTAAAGTAAAAATTTCCATTTGTCCCTTTTGCTAGAATTCTGTGGAATCAAGACCTAAATAAGCGGCTGCTGTTGCTTTTTTCACCCCACTTACCCTGCAAATGTGGTAGTAGTTACTTTATTACTGCCATTAATACTTTTTTATTTTCTGAAATGGTTGTCATCAATCAAAAAACATGAAAATCTTTCATGAAGCTTCAAATGCATGTTGAAACACTTTTGTCAGGCAGTAAGAAGAACTGTACTATTCATACAAATCTCTGTATTCCCTGAAATAAATTCCCAGAGCATGTTTCAGCAGTTATGGAAACATTTTATTGCAAATATACTCAAATATCAATATCCTTTCAAAAAGCAAATGCAAATAAATAAAACTTCAGCCCTGTTAGAATGGAATGCGTACACATACCACATGAAAAAATACGTACACCTCTATGAACAGAGTTTAAATGTTACCATTATTTTGGAAAGAAATAGCAGTGCAATCCTGCTGCCCTTTGCAACAGTGGTAATACGTAGAGTCTCTTTTAGATGCTTGAAAAGAGTCCTCCCTTTTATGAAATTAGTATTCTAATATGTCCTGAATACCTTACCTAATAAAGATATGTATTTTGTCAACACTGTAAAAATGGGCTTCTTTGTAGTCATTGGTTGTGTTTTGTTTGTGTCCTCATACTCCAATAAGAATGCCAGAAAACAGACTGTCTTGGAGAATTGTGAGGGCTGAGCCTGTCCCATTGTCAATAAGAATAGATACATACTCTCCAGCCTGTGAAAAAAAGCATCTACATTAATCATGCTTTTTGTTTGTTTTATGGGTCAGTAATATAGAAGTGTTTATGATAAAGAGATATTCATAGATATTGCATATCCACTTTTTTTTAGTTGGTGTGTTGTCATAACTCATAAAACATTAATAGCCAAAAAGTAAGCATCACATTATTGAAAGAGGGCAATAATGTATATGTATAAAACAGCAGTTTTGATGGGGATTGATAAGACTGTCAAGGGCCCTGGAGCAGAAGATGCCCCTGTGGCTGAACAAAAATAAAAAGTGGGCCCAAATATGGATATTTTCCCAGTCACATATTTTCAGTCAGCATTATTAGCACAAACAATTTCAGTAACCTGTAAAATTCTTGTTCAGTTAAATTATCTTATTATGTCAGTCAGTCATACCTGTAGGTAAAGAGTCCCGGTCAGGAGAATACTGAATTCTCCCCCTGTAGTGCTCACTCCAGTCACTGTCTCCAAAGACCTGCATCATTATAAACACATTAATCATGGTTTAGGACTTATTTGCTTGACTCAGTTCAAACGGTCAGTGCTATTGGTGATTATGGACCATTGCTACTCACACATTACTCTGACAAAGAGACTCTATGCATATAGAGGCCTTAACACTTTCCCTCTGCCTGGCATGAGGCTTTTTCTGAGACTCATTGGATTCTGATACAAATCTCTGTATTCCCTGAAATAAATTCCCAGAGCATGTTTCAGCAGTTATGGAAACATTTTATTGCAAATATACTCAAATATCAATATCCTTTCAAAAAGCAAATGCAAATAAATAAAACTTCAGCCCTGTTAGAATGGAATGCGTACACATACCACATGAAAAAATACGTACACCTCTATGAACAGAGTTTAAATGTTACCATTATTTTGGAAAGAAATAGCAGTGCAATCCTGCTGCCCTTTGCAACAGTGGTAATACGTAGAGTCTCTTTTAGATGCTTGAAAAGAGTCCTCCCTTTTATGAAATTAGTATTCTAATATGTCCTGAATACCTTACCTAATAAAGATATGTATTTTGTCAACACTGTAAAAATGGGCTTCTTTGTAGTCATTGCTTGTGTTTTGTTTGTGTCCTCATACTCCAATAAGAATGCCAGAAAACAGACTGTCTTGGAGAATTGTGAGGGCTGAGCCTGTCCCATTGTCAATAAGAATAGATACATACTCTCCAGCCTGTGAAAAAAAGCATCTACATTAATCATGCTTTTTGTTTGTTTTATGGGTCAGTAATATAGAAGTGTTTATGATAAAGAGATATTCATAGATATTGCATATCCACTTTTTTTTAGTTGGTGTGTTGTCATAACTCATAAAACATTAATAGCCAAAAAGTAAGCATCACATTATTGAAAGAGGGCAATAATGTATATGTATAAAACAGCAGTTTTGATGGGGATTGATAAGACTGTCAAGGGCCCTGGAGCAGAAGATGCCCCTGTGGCTGAACAAAAATAAAAAGTGGGCCCAAATATGGATATTTTCCCAGTCACATATTTTCAGTCAGCATTATTAGCACAAACAATTTCAGTAACCTGTAAAATTCTTGTTCAGTTAAATTATCTTATTATGTCAGTCAGTCATACCTGTAGGTAAAGAGTCCCGGTCAGGAGAATACTGAATTCTCCCCCTGTAGTGCTCACTCCAGTCACTGTCTCCAAAGACCTGCATCATTATAAACACATTAATCATGGTTTAGGACTTATTTGCTTGACTCAGTTCAAACGGTCAGTGCTATTGGTGATTATGGACCATTGCTACTCACACATTACTCTGACAAAGAGACTCTATGCATATAGAGGCCTTAACACTTTCCCTCTGCCTGGCATGAGGCTTTTTCTGAGACTCATTGGATTCTGAAAAAAAAAACAGATACATGATGCAGAGTTAAAGGGATTGTGACAGGCAGACATGTTCAGTGGTACTAGGACCCCACCCTGTTCCACTGAGCTTTATCTAAGGGACAGGCTGTTGGATAGGCCACACACAAGTAACATGATGCAAACAGGAATAAGGTATTGCATGTACTTCAGCTAGCAAAATGATGCAATAAAGCTTATATTTTATGTTTCTATCAGTCTAAATGGGAAAACTCAATTACCTGCTGGTGCATATTGTTTAGCTTATGTATATATTCATGCCTTGTTGTCAAGTATGCATACTTCATGAAATATGGATGCCTAAAAATGCTATTTTTGATACATTACAGTATGACAGACTGCGTCCACGGGAAATGTGGTGAACACTACAACAAGTGAACACTATCCCATTAAGACTAGGCCAGAGGAGAACTGGTCCTCCAACTGAGCCTGGTTTCTCCCAAAGTTTTTTTTTTTTTTCTCAATTTCTGTCACCTGAGAAAATTAGGGTTCCTTACCACTGTTGCCTTTTGGCTTGCGTATGGAGTTTGAACGACACAAAACTTGAACTGGCACTATTGTCACTATTGAACTGTAGAGCCACATTTTGCAACATTGACACTGTTATTGAACTAACCTGAATTAACACTGAAATTACACAAGCTGAATAATAGCAGTCTTTTTTAGAATTGCTTATAACTGAATTTAACTTTTTTGAATTGGTATAAAGCTGTGTCATATGAAGCGCTATAGAAATAATGTCACAGGGGCAGTCCCCTCAAAGGTACAAACACTGTACCTGCACTATGGAAGATTTTTGGTTATACATTTCAGTATGCCTATGGCCCGAGATGCTGGGCTAGGCTTGTTGTCAAAAACGATTTGAGCCACAGTGGTACATATGATACTTGCTCATATGCTTTTTTTGTGATATACTTATATCACATATACTGGTATATCAGTGGTGCAGCATAGCAGATTTCATCTGATATAGCGATTGCCCATAACTATCAAATATGCATAGAAAGAGCAGTGCTGAACCACAATGAATGTTAAAGATTTATTCTTCAAGTAGCATTTAATTTATGTTTCACAGATAGCAGCAGAGAGTTTAAAGTTAATAGTGCAGCTTTTCGGTACTATAACTACCCTTTAGGGCAGGAAGGGGCAACCCCAGACCTGGAGGACAGAGTTCAGCTCCATCTTAATTCAATCAAACCTGCCTGTAATTTTCAAGTAATGACTTGGTTAGATTTTTTGTTTTTCAAGTGCATTTGAATAGATATGGAGTTAAACTCTGCAGGACAGTGGCCATCCAAGAATGAAGTTGCCAAAGGTTAAGATTTGAAGAAACTACCCCAGTGACAATCTACTCTAGTCCTAAAGGTGCAATTTGTACACATTCTGACAATGTAAAGAAGGAACTTCATCATTTAGCCACAACCTCCGTTTAGGACTTTTAGCTTTTAGAGCTGGTCATGTTGATATCCCTTGCATAGCACATAAACCATGCTCAATGTTAAATTCAAACTAAGGCTGTAACCATTCTTTCAGGTTAGGTTTATGAATCTGCAATTAAAAACATATTGGTTGATAGCTAGACTGAATGTTGGAGGAAGGCGCACACCCGAAAACATATCTAAACCACATACCCAGTAGCAGACTAGCTGTGAGCTGGTAGAACCCAGACACTGGAGCTGTGTACCGGCCACTGCTGGCGTTAAAGCCCTGTCCCCTCTGATGGAACTGCTCTGTGTTTGAGGGCTGTGGAAAACACAGAAATGGGATAATTAAATATGCCATTGCCAGTCTCTTCCATTGCCAACCCTTCCCCACTGCTTGCCAGTCTGTTTCACCATCAGCCAAAGCTAACATCGCTGCTAAATAGAATACAAAACCATGAATACATCTAGAAGTTAGTGCTACTTCAGAGAAATAAAAGCTTCTTTTATAGGTCACATTTACTTTCACAGCTCTGGGGCTGCTATGTCATGGTTATTGAAATGAGTAAATTGTTTCTAGTTTGGAAAGGATTGTTTTCCACTTACAGTGTTAAAGGGCTGGAGCTCCTGCAGACTGCGACGTTGGACCAACAGGTTGTGGTGCAGTCGGCAATGGAAAGCTGTGGCCACACGAGGGGTTTGATCGCAGAGCAGGCAGTGAGTTCCTACCATCTCTGTGTGGAAAGGTAATTACAGGATTGTAATGTTGCTTTGTCAAATGCACATAAGAACTAATTCCCTTCTTATTACATTATTCTAAAGGGTTTGGGACAAGGTGTAACCCAATAGACTAGGCACCTTCTCAGACCCAAAAACACTGAAATACAGCTAGTGGAAAATGTTTTGGATTGTATTTGACTGACACTTGGCTGCATATAAAGCCGTTAAACAATCTCACAATGAATAGAAGATGTAAATATTTGGAGTGGTTGAGTGTATGTATGAGCAAACAAAGTGGATGAAAGTGTGAGGCAATGAGAATGCTAGAATGTATGAGCGTACGGCGCCACTGCACTTTTCTGTGTGAATAAGAGCCTTTATGTTTTATATTGCTGTCAGAACAGCCTGCAGCTCACAGTACCAGAGCACAAACAGACCTGTGTCTGCTTTCCTGGCAATACTCCAACACTCATTCCAAACACAAACATGCACACACACAAAATCTGGAATCTGTGGAATTCTTTGGCCAGGCCAAGTCAAATCCACGTCCTGGAAAATTACACCTATTAAGAGATCAGCCCAGCCCACAATCAGACTAGCAGCCTCCCCAACAAATGAGCATGACAACGCATATCCCAAACATCAAGCAATTCTTTAAGTGGCTTAGCCCAAACAAAAGCAAAAAGCTGTTGGACCATAATAACTAACATATTCAAATGTGTTTAACAACATTTTTGAAAGGTGTTGATGTCAAAGCAGTTACTTTACTACAGTTTAACTGATTTGTGCACCTGCATCTGCTGTCTTTTTATGTGTAGTGCGCATCCATCACCCTGACAAAACTATTGATTTAGCACAAGTGAACAGAATCATTAGATTATGCAAAATGTAGATCAACAGACCCACCTCTCAACACATTTTATATGTTTCTCTTATCTGACACATTCAGTCTAGCTCATGGAGCTTTCTCCTAAAAAGCTTTTATGAATCAAGTGTGTTAAATAAGAGAGACATAAAAAATGTGTAGGGCAGTGGGTCCCCAGGACCAGGATTGATAACCTTTGATCAAATGGTATTTTAACAAGTTGCCAGATGGATGTATCATATGATTTCTTTTCTGTTTTCTGTCTGGCATGATGGGTAATGGTGTGTAAATGGGCTTATGTCCACAAATTCCAGTATACCTTTTAGTTTGACTTGGAAGTCCTGTATCAACTCTGCATGATGAGGCATTAGGGGGCCCAGAGGACCAGGAGGCCCCTGGGGACCGGGAGGGCCCGGTGGACCTGGAAGGCCATGCTGGACATGTAGAAAGTTTCAAGTTACATTACATAATAAGAGAAATCCATTTGAAGAGGTGAAAGATTAGGCACTTTCTGACATAGGCCTCATTAGTTTTATCTGTGTGTGCTGTGCTAAATCTGTTTTCATACAGTTTTACTTTTTAGTACTTCTTTACTTCTTAAAGTTTTGTTCAATATATTTATATGCACTTATTCTATGTATTGATATTATTCATCTTTAGCATGGTGTGTAATGCCTATACACTGGATCAGAGATTACCTTGGAGGGTCTTTTATTTCCTTTTGGTTTCTTATTTCCACCCTTGTTGGAGTTGTCCCTAAAGACTATCCATGTCCTGTGGGGGCTCACGTTGGTTATGTCAGAAGATACAGTATCCTGTAAAAATTAAGCATTTCAGAGCATCAACTATGCAAGCAAACTTTAACTACGGCAAATATATAAACTCTTCCTGTAGAGAGGAATCTTTTTTCACAGTGAGGTCACATTCTCTACAATGTTTATGAATGCCATTACCATATACTTTCCCCTCTTGTCTAATGGTTGCCATACCCTAAAGTAAACCTCAGAGAATTGATTTATGAGATTTTATGGTGTCTTTGCGCATGTGTACTGCCTTAAAGCCTTGACAGGTGAACAGCAGGTGTGTGAATCGGATTTGACTTACAGGGCTCTCAGTGCTGACTGTATTGTTTTCCTCTTGGAGCTCCAGACTCTCCTCACTCTCTTGTGTAGTGCAGGTAGACAGCAGTAAACTCAGCAGCAAGGCCAGTAGTGCCCCTCTTGCCCCATGCCTGAGCTTCATGCTGCAGTGTCGGTGCAGTGTAGGTGAACTTCTAACTCACTCAACTCCTTCTTAGCAGCTCAGTGCACAATTTCCATTCCAACACAGAGAGGTGACCAGAAGTCCTGTGGGTAACACGATGGAATCGTTCCTTAGTTCAGAAGGATATCCAAGAGTGGAGGTGAGAAATCAGAGTGCTGCTTCTTCAAAGCATAAATACTCTTTGGGAAGAGTTCTCTAAGTAATGGTGGCTCTTGATTTGGAAAAGATGATTTGGTCTGTGATCTATTAATGTTCTACTTTAATTCCCGGTGTGATTTCTGACATGGAGAAGAAATCTGTTCTTAGATCAGTTCATATTTTTGTGGACAGAGTGTTCAGAGTGCCATGAGAGTTGTGCGCAGGGCCTCACCATGCTTCTACCCATTCACAGTCAATCCGTCCCCTGTGACAGCCAAGATTCCCTATGCCTCCTGACTACAGTCTAAACTCTCTAAGCTTGAGTTGTTCAGCCTGTGTTACAATCACAATGTAGGTGTGTATTCCATAAATGAATGTGTATGTGTGTGTGTGCACGTGTTTGTGAGTGTATTTGTTGATGGTTAGTGTCTGTTGCTCAGTTGAGGTGTGATTACCTGTGATAAACTTTGTGTGTGGTATACTCAGTCTCTCTCTGTGGGTGGTATCTCCACGTCTTCTTTCTGTTTTTAATAATGTTAGATTGTCTTCTGGTCTCCTTGGTGCCTTTGCACAGTATATTTTCGGTAATTCCGTCAATGATGAATTTTGTTTTTGCCAGTTGAGGTCCTCTTTGCCAGACTCCAGTTTATTCCACATCTATGTCAGTGGCCACTCAGAAAGGATCACTCTGTTTTGAAGGGCTCCGTTCCGCGCTCCACTCTTTTTAGCTTCCTCTCAGACCAGACTCCTCCTTTCTCTTCAAGTTTGTGCACTCCACCTGGTATCTCAGTCTCTCTCTGTGGGTGGTATCTCCACGTCTTCTTTCTGTTTTTAATAATGTTAGATTGTCTTCTGGTCTCCTTGGTGCCTTTGCACAGTATATTTTCGGTAATTCCGTCAATGATGAATTTTGTTTTTGCCAGTTGAGGTCCTCTTTGCCAGACTCCAGTTTATTCCACATCTATGTCAGTGGCCACTCAGAAAGGATCACTCTGTTTTGAAGGGCTCCGTTCCGCGCTCCACTCTTTTTAGCTTCCTCTCAGACCAGACTCCTCCTTTCTCTTCAAGTTTGTGCACTCCAAACTGTTGCTGAATCTTGATCTGTCACTTTGTCTCTCTTCAGCCTCCTAGTCATTTATCTGACCATCTCTCCCTGTCTCTCTACTAGAGTCAGTTCCTGGGTCCCCTTCTTTTGTTTGTCTTGTGTTTAGCTCATTCATCTGTCTCTGCCAGCACTTACGCTCTCTGTAAGCCTCAGCTGCAGGGTCCTAATGCCTCTTTTATGGGTTTGTACAGTGGTCTGCTTGTAATCAGAGATGCTCCTTCAAGATGAATAAAACTGGAAATCTAATATATTTAAAACGTCAGAAACAGAAGGAAGGTAGTGTTCATTTAGACGCTATCCTAAATTTGCAAGCAGTGAGAGACATTTGGGTGGGGCAGAAATGTGCATTTCAGATATGCAGAAATGTACTGTTAAAATTATGACAGTTAAGAGGAAGGTTGCACATTTTTATGTAGCAAACCACCACACCTCCCTCTTTATCAGTCTTCTGCTTTTGCTTTTTCCTGGCTGAGAGAACAGCATCTGTGTGATCTTTAGACTAGACACTACTGTGCACAAAACTAATGAAGCTTTTAAAATGCTGGATTTTTAAAGTCTAATTAAGTGTAATTGTTTACAACATTCAAACAAGGGAGCACTGGCACCATTTCTTGGCCAAATTCTTTCAAAAAGATCAGGACAATTAAAATGAGAAATGGTTGCCACACAAACATCATATGCTATTGATAAAGGTAAACATTCAGAATTTTCTGCCTGGATCAATGTGTTTTGAATGAAGCCGAGCATAAGGGCAATTTTAAATGATTCTGTTAGAACCACTACTGCAAAACATTAAAACATACACTGAAAATTTATAAAACATACACTTATGAATACAAAATACATCAAACAATACAGACAACACTATGTATGCTGATGCTGAAAATAGCAGTTTGTGGTTAGAGATAGGTGATTGGAAGCTGTCTGCTTAAGTCCTGGATAAGAGGATTTGAAGTCACCGTTCCTGCTCTGTAAAGACTTGCTCAGTATTGCTAAATCTCATTAGAGAGTCCCAATATCCTGTTCACAGACAGACGTCTCTAATAGTTACAGGCCCAGCAAAGATGTTTTGGAAAAAGTTTCATTTCCTTTTAATGAAGATGCTCTTTGACCTCATTTGAGAAATGGCACCACTTGAACTTGTACTGCTGAAATTCTGTTGTCTAAGTAGGTGAGTACCAAAGGCTACCTGTAGGTTAATAGATTGTTATGCCACTGTGTTTTTAGGCATCTGAACTGTGAATTATATCACTGTTCTTTCAGTACTTAAACATGGCACAGGACGATGTTTCACCACTGCAGCACTTTGTGGTGGCAAAGAGGACTATCAGTGCTGTGTTTCACCAGCTGCTGGAGTTTGTTAGAGATTGTTCAGATTTTGTAGAAGGTAAGGACAAAGTTTTCTGCAGGATATTTATTAATAAATACAATGATGAACCGTTACATTATGACCACCTATCCAATAACCTGTAGGATCCACAAAACAGCAGCCACACAGTGAGGTATTAATTCTTCTGGGGTATGTGGTACCATAATGTCAACAGCAGGTCCTTTAGTTCTCGTACATTGCGTACTTCAATATAGGTGGTGGTGATGTAGCACGAATCCGCTTTTCCAAGTCGAACCACAAATGTTGAACTGGGTGATTTTAGAGACTAAGGCAATAACAGAAATTCACCATCATGTTCCTCGAACCACTCCTTGACAGATCTGGCAGTGTGGCATGGCGCAATATCCTGTTGGTAGCGAGGGAACACAGGGAACACAGTTGCCATGAATGGGTGCACTTGGTCAGCAACGATGTTCAGATACCGGACAGCTGTCAAGAATTGTCTATTGAGATAATGGGGCCGAAAATGTCCCATGAAAACATCATCCACAGCATAACTGGCCTGTGTCTGCCCAGCAATGCATCCAGGTGCCATAGACTCTATTGGTAATCTGCGCTCGGCCGTCAACATGACGCACCAGGAATCTTGATGCGTCAGACCAGGCAACTTTCTAATCATCCACGGTCTAATCTCGTTGATCTTGGGCCCATTCATTGTCGGCAATGGCATGCAGTTAGCATCGGGACCCAGCTGGATGGTCGGCTACGCAGGCCCATACGAAATAGTCTGTGATGAAATATGTGCTGTGCAGCATTGCCCTGGTCACCATTGTTGTAGCTGCTTGTAATTTGTCCCACTGTGGCCTTCTGGTCGCTGTGAACAATGCGTGACAGTCTCCGCCTCCCTCTGGCATCAGTGTGTTGCGGACGACAGACGACTCGACTACGGATTCACACTTTTGATATGTACTCACTACACAGGCACGTGAGCAACCCACAAGGCACACCATTACCGAGACTGAAGTTCCAAGGTAGTATATACAGCTCTGTGAACTGCACCTGTGGCACCATTTGATTGCCAGGCGCACTCATTGCTCTAGGTTGAGGGTGGTCACTCAAAATGTAATGGCTCATCTGTGTATTTCTTCTTCTTCTTATTTCTTATAATTATTAACTTTACTGAACTCCATTAGATTCAATTTTAAATCCCAGAATTTCAATACAGACTATTGTATACTTTTGGACAATATCATGGTTTGTAGACACGGTAGTAACATGTAAATGTTATGGTGTGTTACTATGGTAATCATTTAGTACTATTATTAGTACTATAATAAAGTGCCATTGTATTTCCATCTTATGGAAGCCTTCTGCTAAAATGCACTACGTCACATTACATCACTACACATGACATTACCATAAGCAAAGTCATAAATAACCCTTCAATATAACACTTGAAATTTAGCTCAGGAGCATCCCATCTAACTGGATCATATTTGAGTTGGTTCTACACTTTGTCTAGAGTCCACCTATGGCAAATTCAACTGCTGGTACTTGAGTTACTCTGTTTGAGATCCAGAAATCATGTGTGGTGATGGGAGAAACGTGCAAAAGGATACCCATCACCGCAACACCCAAAAGCATTCCAACGGATGAAGTACGGTGGTGGTAACATCATGTGTTTTAAACAGCAGTACTGAAGGACTGGTCAGGGTAGAAAGAAAAACTGCAGCACAAAACAGAGCTCTTGACAGTTCACCCAAAAATGAAAAAGAAAATATTTTGAAGATTGTTGGTAATTGATTGTTGGTAAGTTCAGACTTGAACCCAATTTAAAATCTATGGTGAAACTCGAAAATGGCTCTCCACCAAGTCACCAACAGTCCACAATTCAACCTGACTAAGCTTGTAAGAATCTGCAGAGAAGAATGGCAAAAAAAACAACAACAAAAAATCCCAAATCCAGGTGTGCAAAGATATCAAAAATATCAAAGATATAAAAAATCCTTTTTTGCTTTGTCATTATAGGGTGTAGATTGATGTTAAAAATGTTTAAAGCATTTCAGCGTAAAAAAAAAATCATATAAATCAGCTAAGGCTGGTCCTGCTGTTAGTCTTTACTGTATGATGGTATTTAACGTGTGGTACCCAGAGACGTGGAAGAGTGAGGATCTTGAGCATGTAGCAGAGGAAAAACAGTGTCTGCAGATCCAGGCCTGCTCCAGGAAACTAACCACCATCAAAGATGTGTTAGCCCGCAGACATATGAAGGTGGCCTTCTTTGGCAGGTACAACTACAGTTATGACTAATCTAAGTTTACTGGTATCTAAACCAAATAGTAACAGGCTAGCAGAATGAAATGGATCATTAATGTTTACTTTAGCTCTTCAGCTGTTCAGCCAAGTTTTTTTTTTTTGGTACACATAGTTACTTTATACAAATCCATAAGTGAGGCACCAAAAACATAAACTTAATCTCTGTTTTTTTTTCTCTCCTTCATCTCTAACTTGGTTTGAGATAATATTGAATCAGAGAAGCTAAATGGATAGGTTGTTACTGGGTGTTATATGTTGTTTTTCAGGACCAGTAATGGAAAGAGTACAGTAATTAATGCCATGCTAAGGGAACGGGTTCTGCCCAGTGGAATCGGCCACACCACTAACTGTTTCCTGAGTGTGGAGGGCACAGACGGGGAACATGCCTACCTTACCACTGAGGACTCTGAAGAGAGTAAAAGCATTGAAGTATGTCACAAGTTTCCAGAGCTTATTATGTTTGTAAACTACAATTGTGCTCACAATTATTCATACCCTTGGTAAATATGATCAAAGAAGGCTGTGAAAATTCATCTGTATCATCAATCCTTTAGATATTTCATTTTAAAAATGTACTAAAAGCTAACCTTTCATTGAGAATAAGAATTAAAAATGGGAGAGAAATCTCATTATAAAAATTAATTCTCTAAAACACATTGGTCATAATTAATCATACCCTTTTATCCAATACTTTTTGCAACCTCCTGTTGCTAAGAGAACAGCTCTGAATCTTCACCTATAATGCCTGAAGAATTTAGAGAACATCTGACAGGTGATCAGAGACCATTCCTTCATCCAGAATCTCTCCAGACCCTTCAGATTTCAAGCTGCATGTTGATGCTTCTCCTCTTCAGTTCACCACACTCATTTTCTATAGGGTTCAGCTCAGGGAACTGGGTTGGCCAGGGCAGAAGCTTGGTTTTGTTCTCAGTGACCCATTTTTGTTTTGGTTTTGATGTCTGTGTGTGGATCATTGTCCTGTTGGAAGATCCAACCATGGCCCGTTAATAAGATTTCTAGCATGGACAGT